CGGGACTTTGATTTAAATCTGAAATCCAAAGAGGCTTGTACACACAACCCAGGAACCCAGGAAGAAAAGTGATCTGTTAAACCAAGTTTGTTATGTTTTGCTGACTCTGGCTGGGTCCAGGAATTTTTACATCTTTCACCTAAAGCATTAAGCACATAACTTTCTGTTGGTGGAAGAATGTGCAGAGAATGCTATTAGGCTTCAAAAATACTTGGTTTTTTATAGTCATTTCACTGGTATCACATTCTCATTCAGAATTGTTTTGATGTTATAAGTGGTAACTGGGCAAGAAAGAGACCTTTTTCCCCAGACATCTTTGAGCAGACACCAAAGCCTTTCTAATTGGTGTGTCTGTACCTGGAATTGTTTACTGCTCAGGAGAGCAAGAAAAAAGGAACCAGATTAACAGAAAACAGATTAAATTCTGCACTTGGCTTCCAAAAGCTGGTGTGATTTGGTACCTGAGAGAGATATTTTTGAGAGTAAAAATAAGTTTATGCAAAGATTATGATCTTCTGAAGGGAGTGGTATGGTTCCTCCCCATTTGGACCCCATGAACCCGATATGCCATTTCTTGCCTTTGTGCACTTGCTGTATTATTGGAGTATTATTGACATTACAATGGAAAATGTTTTCAAAGAACTCATGGTGGTCCCAAAAGATTTTTAAAAATAATATTGAAAAACTATACATTTGTATGAATTAAATTAGCATGCAATATCACTTATTTGAACTTTATATAAATTCAGTTTCTTTTAATTTTACATTCATTTTTATTTTAAAAATGTTTATTCAGTTTTCAGTGCTCTCAAGCATATAGTGTTTTGTTGCAAAGCAAGTTGTACAAAATTCTAACTTCAGATTTCAAAACTGCTGGACAAAAACCTGTTGTTTAATTAAGAGGAGCATCTGATGACAAGCATAAAACCAGGCAGCTCTCAAATAGGTTTTCACTTACTTTTTACATTAAAGATCATAGGTTAGGTGCTTCCCAGAGCCATTTTGGTAAACTGAAAGCCTAAGAAAGTTTTTGAAGGATTTTATTCTCTGATACACCATTGAGGTTATCTGAGAAGAACAGTGCAAGGGCTGAAACAGAAGCACATTATATCCCTGTTGGGAATTACTCAGGGGGTGTAACTGTCCAGTTATTTTTCTTCTAAGCTAGTTACCACACCCCTGTCCCAAACTGCCCTGCAGACCACCCGTTTCTTTATCTGTCCATCTAAGGTGTGCTGATACGTGATTTTCCTCCCACAGTTATTCAAGGGGTCGATATTGCGTTACTGGGACTGAACAATCAGAGCTTTGCAAGATTAATGGAGCAGCGTTTGGCCCCGCTGTTTATGATGTCCCATCAGCAAGGAAGACGATTCAAACGTGCCACTACTGTGGGCAGCTACACTGTGCAGGTGGTCAATGCGACATCGGTTGCGCTTGGCTATGAGTTGAGGCAAAAAAGGGCTTTGTTTGCATGTGTCCTGTCCCAATTTGTGTGAAAAAAAAGCCCCACCAAAGCCCTGTTTAACCGTGTTGAGATTTCCTGTCTTTTTTTCATGAATGCCGAAGCATCGAGTGCAAAATGCATGGCATTACTAATGGGTTTCTTTTTCTGTTGTCAGCCATGTTTGCATGCCTCTCATCTTCTAGAAATCATCATTAGTTAATCAGTGTTAATAAATATTTTCTCTTCGGTTGCTATGAGGGTTGGTACAAAGTACCTACTTTAGCATAAGTCTCATATTCAGCATAATGAAGAGTTCCAGGCTTTTGTTCTTAAATTTAAAAAAAAAAAAAGTTTCCTAAGGCTTCCTTTCCTGGGTAACTCAATAAAGCTAGAACTTCTTTTATTTCTTTTTGTTGAAAAGCGCAGTCTTTATACAGGGATAGTCATCAAATCATGTGGCCATATATAACATTAATGCAGATTTCAGTCCTGAGTAATTTATTCATCATCTTTCTCATATTTAGCAACATATCCCATTCAGTTTTTGAAATTATTGCATTATTGCATTGTGTTTTCTCACTAAATTAGCAAACTTATGCTAGTTGTGGGGGACTCAAAGAGGATCTATCCTCAAAAATTGCATGAAAAGTTATTGCTTTTTTTTAAATTACACAATGCTTTTTAAAAATTGTTTTTCTGTGAGATATAAAACCAAATTACTACTACTCTTGTTTTCCCACAATTCTGTGTGTTTTCCCACTGAAAGAATTTAAAAGAAGGAACACGCTTTTACTTTCCAAAAGCATGAACCTTTATACAATTTTTCATGAAAACTTGACATATTTTAGTCAATAACATAACAGAGAAGAATCTCAAAACTCCTTTCTCCTCTCATCATTAGAGGTGTTTGACACTTTTTCTACTTGCAGGAAAGGTAGAGGAACAATGTAAAAATTCTGCCAGTGTTTTGCCAAATAAAATGGAAAAAGCATGATTTTCTTTATTGTCATCCTGGGATCAAAAATGATGAGTATAGCAGTAAAATATGAAGGAAATTTTCAACTACAGTATGCCAGTAAAGTACAATTTTCAATATTAGGCAGATTTTAAGAATTCCCTCTTTACAGAGGACTGTAATGTTCAAATGTTTGATCCTTTCCTCCTTTTTACCGTATGCGTTTCTTAGTATAGGGTTTTACTTTAGGATTATGTTTAAAAATTTTAAAGAAGGGAGTCAATCCTCACTAATCTTAATGGCCTTGGCCATGAAGGGGGGAAGCTCCGATCCTGTGAGAATATTTGCATGGAGCTTATGCTTATGTGGGGTCTTGAAGGAGTTCCCTCTGTGCATTGACTTTGAGTAGCTCCTGGCAGGTTTTACAATGGTATAATGCAAACATAATTTATCTTGATTTCTTTGTATTTTTTTTCCTGAAAGATGGTAAAAATTCAACGTATTCCAGGACCCAAGGAGCCGGCTGAACTGACATACTATACTTTATACAATGGGAAACCTTTGCTGGGAACTGCAGCTGCCAAAATTTTGAGTACTGTTGACTCGCAGCGGATGGCCTTGACGCTAGGTTATGTTATTCAAGTTCAAGCTGATCGTAAGAGTTCTTATAAAAATTCTCTGGTTTAGTCTGTTTTTTCTTCTTTTTTTTTTTTTTGTTTGTTTCTTTGTGAAAACACTAGTGTAGGTATGGGGAGAGAGAAATTTCAGCTGCACCCATCCAAGCAGCTGCTTAAGTCAGAGGGCTCTTATGGAAGGCAGGCTAATCTTTTATGGTAGTTAATCAAAGCTATGTACCAACTGTTATTTAGCCAATCACTGTAAACTCTACTGTACAACTAATTTTACACAATTACAGATATATGAGCAGAACAACTTTATGGAACTGTGAAGTCAGAATTCACTCTGATGCTAACAAAACCATGACACCACAGGCTAATGACTGCTGAGGCTAAATTGCTATTGAAGTAATTTGACCTGAAGTAAAATGAAACTGTATGGGGGGGCTATCAAGATGTCCCTTACTTTCTACTTGTCAGAATAATGTAGATGATTTCTATCTCAAAGGGATACTTTTTTAAAAAAAAATAATTATTTTCACAAAGAACTTTGTAAAGTGCAGCATGTGGTTACTAAAGACATTGTTTAAATGGTGAAGTTGAAAGAGCTACTTGGGTATATGGGAGATTTTCAGATTCGAGATAAGGTAGCATCATTCAGAATAACGTGGCCAAAAAAGTAATCCATTCTTGAAAAATGAAGTGGTTTTTAATTTCTTTTTTATGACTTGCATCAGTTACTGAGTGATTGTGGGCACAGATCTCTTCTTAAAATAATTTTTTTTATATTCCTGTATAGTTGACCTACGGTCATAAACCTGTGGTGCAGCTTGGAGTGTTTCTTGTGCAATAACAGCTTAATGAATCGATCATGCCTTTACCTAACTGAATTTCCTCACTTTGCCAAAGTGCCGAAATTATGTAGATGGAATTAAAATTCTATAGTAGACTTCTGTACTGGATCTCCTTACTGGCTAAACAGCACATAAAATGGGACATTATTTCTGGTGACATTATTTCTGCTTGAAGGAGCAGAGATATTGAAATAACTGCATGTAATGGTGATAGGAAAAGAAGGAACCACTGTAATAAATAATTGACATATCATCCATAAACATATGATTGAGTTAGCAGACTGAAGTATGATATAATTTCCAGAGACTGCTGCTACATACCGTACCTGATTCTTGATTTGATCATGGTCTCTTACTGACTTTAATTGTACTGAAACCAGGGATCTCCATTCCTGCTTCCATACAGTCTAGTATTTAAATTCTGAATTATTTTTTTTTTCCACGAGGATATTTCTATAATGTAATTTTTACTAAAGCAGCTATAGATAATACATAGCAATTTCCTAGCTCTTAGTGCAGTTTCATGCTTCGTATGGGTATTTAGGTAATTATATGACATCTGCTGCTCATGATTTAACTTCATACTTTCATGATCTGACAAGGCAGCCTCATGCAACTGTAAATTTTCATACAAGTTAAATATGCGCAGAATATTGTAAGAAAAGAATTTACAGAAATTGAAATTATGACCCTGAGTAACTGAGATGCTGAAGAAAGAGTGTTTGAAATGTAGGAGAGAGTTCTACCTTTATAACTTATTGTCAAAAAAACCCGAACATTTCTCTCCTTTTGGACATGGTATTTGTAGTCTGTCTTTGTATTCCCCAAAGAAAATACTTTGTGTGCACTTCATTTTTACTCATTATAATTTCTGTTATAGCAGAATGAAAAGTTCTGTACCAAAATGCAGTAAGAAAAGACATCTACCCTCAGGAGCTCATAGTCTGCTTAGAGAAGACAGATGAATAATAACAAAAAATATGGATGTTCCTGTTTTATAAGCGAAGGACAGAGATATAGCAAAATGAAAGGCTTGCTTCAAAATCCATTGCAGTCTTATTGAGTTGAATGAACCGTGGATTGACTTACTCAAGGTCACATTGGAGGCTGGCAACTAAATTAAAGATTTAAACCTGGATTCCTAAATGTTTGTCCTATTAGCCGTAGGGTCATAATTTCCTCTGTGTTCCCTAGAAAGAATAATTATAATTTTTCACCACTTGTTTGCTGCAACAACAGTGGTCTATAATTAAAATTGCTGTTATCTGATACAATTCAGATCCACTTTCCACAGCACTTTCACTCCCATGCTTAAGAGTTCAAAGTCAATAATTCAGAATTATGCAAGTCCATTGAAAAGTGGACCTTGAAGGGCAGCCTAATCTCAGACTTCAACCTGGCTTTTTGGACAGTATTTAAGCATGTGTGCTATTCCTACATCACCCAGCTACATTGGCTTTATCAAAAGTGGTAAACCTACCAAGAAAAGAGGCTCCAGTTTCAGACAGACTTTCAGCTGGCTTTCATAACAGCTGCTGAACAAGATGGTTTGCATTTGAAGTCTGATCCTGAAAGATGCTGAGGGCCTCTGACAGCTAATAAGCTCAATGACATTTGAAAGCACTAGTCCCCACGGAAAGGGGAAGCGCTGCTTTACGCTGGTATTCTTGTGATTGCCTGTCCATGCCAGCAACCAGTGGCATAGGAAAATAAATAGAGATAGAAGTCCACAAAATGTTTCACTAAACCAAAATTCACCATCATAAGGAGATTATCTGGTATTTTTCCAGGAAGAAATGAAATGAGAGAACAGGGGATGTGTCACTGGAGGATCTCTTATGTGTATACAAGTTCAAGGCTCATACTAAGATGCTTTATTCTGATAAAATGGAATTAAAATGTTTCTGAAATTTACCCCTTTCCTAGTGCCATTATTAATATATCTGCAAGTAGCTCTTTCCAACCTCATAATTTTCCCTCCTTCAGAAATCATGGATTCATTTTGACCTTAATTAGGATAGAGTATTTCTAGAGCAGAAGAGAAGCATTTTCTTATTACCATATTGATATCAATAATAATTACTAGTGTGCTTAGCCTCATTATTTTTGAAAAAACTCTCCCAGTTAACTCTTGCTGAGCCAATAAGTCTTTGGCACCAAACATGGACCCTGTGTGTATTTTTGACACACATGCTACCTTACTATAAACTGGTTTCGTTTGAAAAATAATTTGGGATGTATTAGTCTTTTTTTGTTTGTTTGTTTAATCTGTAAATGAACCATTGAAGTGATATCTAACATGGCATCTAATTTGACTTGGGAGTTGATGTCTGCTTTTGCAGCTGGCTATAACTAAGAGAGGAGAGCCCAGGGATTTGTGAATTGAACAGTGTTGCTGAGTCATTTTTTTAACTTAAGGAATCCAAAGGTATAGCTAGATTCCTAACAAACCTTTTAGACTAGTTATTATATGGAGAGAGTTGAAGATTGTGTTGGAAGGAATTTAAATCTTGTGTTTGCTCAGTAAAACTTACTAATGTTGGTTTGCAATTTTCTGTAGCTGTGGTGAAGAACCCCCCGAACAACCTGTGGATCATTGCAGCGGTGCTGGCTCCCATCGCTGTGGTTACAGTGATCATCATCATCATCACAGCAGTTCTGTGCAGAAAGAACAAGAATGACTTCAAACCAGACACCGTGATGAACCTGCCTCAGAGAGCTAAAGTGAGTGACCGATCTTCAGATCCGAGACGTCCATTTGCTTTCTGAGGTGTTAACTGTGTTTCTCTGCTAGATGTAGTTGAAGGATGTTTGCAATTGAAATGGTCATTACTCATAGGTTGGATCTTTGTATTTTTCTGTCCTTGATACCACCAGTAACAGTAATTACCCTTCTAATTTACTCGGGACTCCTCAACTTCCTTTGCATCTTGTCCATTGCCGCACAGGCAGCAGAGACAGAATAACCATTACGCAGTGATGTAAGGCACTCTGCCTTTATGGTTGAGCAGGCTTTACTCAGGCCAGTTGCTTCCCTCATAAAGTTGAGGAAATGGGCAATCACCCCTAGGCCTCGTTAGCAACATGTTTCCTGCAGGACCTGGTTATCAAACCTGTGGCCTGAGCTGCTGCTACCTCCTGTCAGTGGCAGTGGCTGAAGCTCTGGGCTTTGGCAGATCATGATGGAAAAGTTCTCCATCCAAATGCTAATTCAGGAAAGGCAGTTGATGAATATTTTTTTTTGAGAAAATTTCTCCCACTGCTTTTTTTTCTTTTAGATGTTTTGAACTTTCTAATTTATTTGTGGGTGTTGTTGATTGGGTTCAAATAAAAATTTTCCTTAAATTTACTAATCCATATCAGTTACAAGTTTTTTTTTCAAATCAAATGTCTTTCCAGTTTGGTTTTCTGTTTTCAAGAAAAAAATGTCACAGAATATTGATTTGTCTCTGTAGTGAAAAAAGTCTGTCTTCTCAATGCTGCTATTAAATGGTTCTTAAACAGGGGCACCCAAAGTTAGGAGCTTTTAGCCTACAAAGCGTGTAAGTCATGCTGTTCCTTCACCCTTCTAGCTGGCTTTGTTCTTCTCCACTGGCATGGGATTGAAATGATAATTTTTTTCTTTGGTTTCTTCATGCTACAGACAGCAGGATTATTGTGATTTCAGCTCTGTTGCTTCTGCTGAAAAATGTATATTGGAGGGAGAGTTGAAGGAAGGAACGATGCAAATGACAGCTCCTTTCTCCTCATCTTAGGCTGGTTGCAGATGGGTGCAGCTGGAGCCAGATGGAAAAAAAGACATTTGTATCAAAAATGTTACAAAAAAGACATTTCCATTTCTGTTCCAGTATGCTCATCTATTTATCTGGTGTTAGCAAACTAGTGTTAAGACTAGATTTGCAGAAGTGAAACAAGCAATATCACAAACACAAACAAAAATTAATACCACTGCAGTGATATCATATCATGTCCCATTGAAACCCCTAAAATGCAAATCACACTATATTAGGGGCTGTTGCAAACACTATGCACCGCTTGATTCTTCTTATATTCAATCTTAGTCCCAGCTAAAAGACAAAGTGAGACTAAATTTGTACATTGTTTTGAGCTGGCCATCGTTATGGGATGCTTTGCGGCTGAAGAAAGTTGCTATTTAAAAAAAAAAAAAAAGACTGCTCTTTCAAGCTACAACACAGAAAAATCTTGAAAGTATTTAATATTCTATAGTTGTCATTCCCAAAAGTTAGAGAAAGTTGAAGTTCTACTTTTTCTGAGAAATCAGATTTAATCAGGCTCAACGATACACAGTGAGCTTAAAACCTCTTCAGTCGGGTTGCATTTGTATCAGCAGCCAACGTGGTCAGACAAGAGTTGGGTCTGCAGAAGAAAACATTTGGTGCTGAGCTCCCAGCATCCACGCTGCGCTTGTCTCAGGAGATTTTTCCTGCAGACTTGCTCATGTTTGCAACTGGAGTGCAGTAGTCCCCTTCTGGAGTGCATTTCCTCTTTTTGGGTACATTTTGACGTTTCATAAAATTTAATTTAATTCATTATATAAAAAGTGATGCATTTCAAATGAAAGCTAAATTGGTTTCTGCTTAGTTTCACCATGATGGCTCCATCAAAAAGGTTCAGCTGGGTCTAATTTAGAGTATATGCTGGTATACGGACCGTGGAAGATAAATTCTTCAGCGGGATTGGTAATGGAATGACTTTTGTCATTCCTGATTTCAGCATCTTTACTTAAAATAAGGCTAAGAAACTTATTCTGGGAAGATAATGAAATAAGGTCATTTTGAAAAGAACAGTTTTATTTTTATTTTTTAATTCCAGCATTAGGGGTCTCAGGAACAGTGGCAATTACTTGAACTGTACTTGCTACATTTCATGCAATTTGACAATACAAGTAGCTGATGGGCACATATCTATATCACATTTAAAATTAATATATTATGTTTAATGGCTTAGAAAAGTGCCTGAGACTGCTTGATTAATGCTGAATCTGTTCTGTAAGTGGAGTCACAGCAGAGTGATTCTTAGTTTAAAAAAGCACCTTTAACATTTTGTTTCTGCGTGTCTGAGATTTGCTGTTGAATCACCGGAGCAGTTTTTGGATACCTTTTGAACACCCAGCAAGCAGTATAGAGAGGAAAAGAGATTATTATGGGATACCCCAAACCCTTGGATTTCAGCAGGTTTTGTTGTCGGTGGTGCCATTTTCTGTGTTCGGATTCCAAAAGTCCTGTACCAAGGGGACTGGCAGAGCGGAGCTGCTTGTTCATCGCTGCAGTCCTGCTGCTGCTGGGAGCAGCAGGGAAGGCTGCTGGTCCTCGCAGAGCAGAGCTGCCCGACACCTCCCTCCAGAGACCCCCCATCCCCTCCAGAGGGGTGGGAGGCAGGATGCACCAACACAGCTCGGAGGGGTAATGAAACCTTCAGCGTTAAATATCCTTCTGTAGCCCGGGGGTGTGTGTGATGTGACCTAACAGCAGGATTGCTGCCTGTGCCTGGTAATTTAGGAATGACTCTTTTCGTTCTAACAGACTGAGGGCTAAATAAATGAAGTTTAAAAAATGACCTCTCGTATGCGGTGTAGTTTATAGTATCTTTCTTAGGATTTGTGTTGCTGTTCTGAATTGCCTTAGCAGTCAGGGACATTTGGAATAAGTTGCAGGGAAAAGGCACTGTTACCATTTATTTTAAATTGGTTCTCCAGTTGTAAAATTAAAAGTAATATAAATTCAAGTTGGTGAAATTCTGATTCAAATTTCTTTTACTGTTCTTTCAATCCTGTTTTTATTTTGAGCAGCTGTTTTCAATAGATGTTAGTTTTTTACCTCCCTTGCTTTCTAATTCACAGCATGCTTTTGTAAAGTCTGTAATCTGATTTGTCACCTTTCCTTTCTTTTAAAGCATGAAAGAATAAGCTTGCAGGTAAACAGAGATAAGATCTGCAGTCTAAGACCTGAAAGCAAAAGCAAATACTGCAGGCCATGAGAAAACAACCACTATCAATTTGATAAAGGGCATGGAAAAAAAAAGATTAGAGAAACTGACTGTGTACATGGGTATATATGTAGAGGGGAGGGGCTGATAATTCTTTTTTTTTTTTTTTTTTTTTTCTTTTATTTCCTTTTTTTTTTTTTTTTTTTTAATATCAGTGTCTTTTCATGACCATTACATGGGAAAAAGTCCCAGAAACAACTCTCTCTATTCAATCTGCCCTTTGCCAGGCAATGTAATTTAGTGGCCTCATCATTCATTTATTATTTCAAAAGCAAAAATCAAATCCCAGTTCTTTGGTCTTTCTCAGTATTGTGGCTGCATTGGACATCTCTGGTTGCAGTGCTTTAGCAGTGCCTGATTGTGATTTAGTCTTGCCATTTCCCTTCAGGGGTGGTAAGGCCATCTGCTCCTGTGGGCTTTTACAGAGCAGGGTTCCAAGATCAAGTTTTATTTAACGCAATATGTCTGCTGATGAGGATGGCTTTTTCAGCTCTTCCTTTATTTCAGTTTGTCACTAGACATGGTGGTAAGTAGAACTCAGATTAAAATAATCCTTCATTTTCTTCCTTTGGCAGATCACTTCTGTAGAAATTCTCATGTTCTGCTGCTTCTCGTTTGGTTTTGTTTGGTTTTGTTAATTGTTTTTTGTTGTGTTTTTTTTTTTTAAATAAGATATGAAGTATAAGTTGTAGCTTTTACTTTTTCAAAGGCATGGAGGAAGAAATAAGTGATTTAATCAGCTTTTCTCTTTTGTTACCTTTTTTGCAGAATATCTAGGAGAGTCTTGATTAACAATAAAGATAATAAGCTTGGAAAACATTATTTTGGTTAAAAATATTACTATCTAGTATGTTGTGCAGTGGTTCTTCCTAGCTGTCCTTCACATGGCTTCTGCTTCCCTTTTTTTCATTTCCTCCCTTCCTAGTTAATTTGGTGTCTGCTTTTGTGGTATCCTGCCTTCAGAGGAGGGCAAGCAGAAGGCTCCATCAGGGATGGCTGCATCATGACTTGCCATGGGCTGGTGATGGTGAATTGGCATTTTTCTGCTACATTGCAGCTTCCATGGTGGTATTGTGTGGAGAGGTCTGGTCTCCCAATTCAGCATTAGTCCAGTTAGTGTCTCCTTAATGCACTGGGGCTTCTTACCAGAGGAATACTGGAATATGTATGCACATTAGAAATCATTCTGGTTCAAACAGGAGATTGGGAATGTGATGTAGATCCCCATAAACAAAAAGCATGTTTTGTTTTAAAAAATAGAAGACAGCCTGTTTTTCTTTCAGACTGAGATTGCCTATGAAATTTATCTGTATTTATAGCTATAGCCCAGATTTACTACGGGAGAGAACAAGAGAAAATGTTTTCTCAGAGCTCATCCTTTTTTCTGTGCCATCAGCAATTTTTTTTTATCCAGCTGATTCTCTTCTGGAACTGAAATATTCAATGACAATATGACAGGAACCTGAGAGAGACTATTCAGTTATTAATTTTATAATTCTGATGTGTTTCCCAAAGTGTGTTTGAGGGTTAAAATAACCATTGCTCACCTTTGAAGTGTTTTAGGGTGCTTTTTTAGCATTCTGTCAATAGTCTTTGTACTTCAGGAAGAGCATCCTTCCAGTTTTTGGTAAATTAATTCAATTTAATGTAGTAAGAACATTTTATGTGTTATATATTTTTTCTGGAGAGGTCAGAGGCAGCAGGGAAAGCCTGGCTGGGCTTCGGGGCAGCAGAGGCTGGGGACATGGCTCTTGGCTGCCTTGCTGCAAGGCTCTTCCGAATGCTGCTTCCCGAGAGAAACAAGTCAAGTCAATAACAACCTTCCCAGTAGGCAACTGGCAAGTCAGGGGAAATATAATTTCCCTGATCTGAAAAACATCCCTTTCTGGGAAATGTTGCCCATGAAACTTTTATGTGTGACTTTTTTTACTTTGTCTTCATTTGGAATAAATTACTCCCACCTTCTTCGGAAACACAAGATTTTTTTTCATAGAGAGAGATTTCCATTTTCTGTATGGTCTTATTTTTCTCCCTCCTAATTTTTTCTTCCCTATTCTTCCATTCTTCCATTCATTCTTCCATTGTCTGTTAAAGGAATTTCTGAGGGTGTTAAAGCAGGGTAAGAAAGGTTACCCAAGACTGATTTTATACTAGGTGATCATGTTTAAAATATGTGCAATGGAGATCTAGTCAAGCAACTGCTTTGTTGTTGGGCATTCATATGGCAATTTACATGTTTTTATTTGTCACTTATGTGATTCAAGAAGTTAAGGGTTAGTGAAAAATTTTATTTGAAGTGGAAATTTTATACTAACATTATGACTCATGCTTGAAATTTCTTTTTTCTCCTGCTTTTTTTGCAGCCAGTACAAGGCTTTGACTATGCCAAGCAACACTTAGGTCAGCAAGGAGCTGAAGATGAGGTTTTACCTGTAACTCAGGAGACTGTTGTACTCCCGCTTCCAGTTAGAGATGCTCCTGCCTCCCAGGAGAGAGAAATTACTCAGGATGGGAGCACCATCAAAACTGCCAAATCCAATGAAACGAGGAAGAGGTATGGACTGGTGTGTTCCTGCAGAGGGGTGGAATGGGGTATATGCTGCTGGTTGCTTAGGAAAAATCCTGTAAGGTTTGGCACCCAGGCTCTGCATGTGGCAGATGGTTCCTCCATGATATATTCTTGGCATAATGCTGGTGTGCGCTGGATGTGTAAGATTGCTGCAAAATACAACATAAAGTGAAGTCTTCACAGATTGTACATGCATAAGTGAGGTAAAGGTGAAGTGACTCTCACACGCATGCTGGTGTTGCACAAGAGATGAACGCGAATGAAACATCGGATCTGGAGCACGAACACCAATCATATCTTAAATCAACCAAAAGGCAGGACCTCAGCCACCGTAAGTTGCTGTAGCTCCACTGAAAGACTCTGTCACTCCAGAATTGGACCTGATGTCTTCATTAGCAGAAGGGCAAACCCTAAATATCCACTGAATTATGGAAGACTTCTAGATCCAAAGCTTCTACAGCAGGACAAAACTTCCGAGACTGTAAGAATAGACTAGATAATGTCACTGTCTAGGGTGAACTGTCCCAGGTTTGCAGGAAGTCTACAGAGTTGTAGCATCGCATCTCTAGAAGGTCTCCAGGAAGCTGTCTGGCTCTTCCTCTTCTCCACCGCAGGGTCAAATACACCCCTAACTCAACTTCAGCTACCTTTTTTTCAAGTCTTTGAGTGGTGGGATGATCGCAGCCTCCTCAAACAATCTGTTCTTCACTACCTTCCCTGTTAGGAAGTTTAACCTTGTGTCTACCCTCACTCAGAATAGCTGAAGGTCATTATTCTTTGTCTTGGTCATCTCGGGCAAGGAAAGCAGATTATCCCTTCCTGCTGGCAGTTTTGCATGCTTCAAGACCATTTTCCCTTTACTCTCTCTCCTTGAAATTAATTTAGAGTGGAGGATCATTAACTTTTTATTGCTGAAGAATGATACTGAAGGGAACAGGGGAAAATAAAGCTGTTAGGTAAACAGCCTGCAGAGAGGTAACAGTTGTCTAGTTCACTGGCATTACACTACACAGACCATGCCTCTTGATGGGACTTGGTAACATAAAAGAAGAGTACCTGGCCAGTGCAGAGAAATTCTACAGAAAATCACAGAAATTCATACCCGAGTCACCCCATCTCGTACTTGTCAATGCACAATGATATTTGCCCCCTTGGGATAACAGAAAAGGATGGAAAACTCAGCACAGTGTTGCTGTAGGCTGTGACAGGGACACACTGGAGCCATCTGCAGTCACAGGATGTGCCGTGCTGGAAGGTGTCAGCCAGAACAGCGTGGGGCTGGAGGACCTGTCACTGCTGTTCTTCATGGGGGGTAGACCTCACCATTGGTCATGAGCTGAGATTTTTCATACAGAAAAATGGAAACAAAGGGTGGTGTCTGGTTTGGCATACTTCTCTGGTTGTGTAGTGCATCACCTGGAATGCAGAGAGAGCTGTCTGTAGGGAGTACCGATAGAGAAGAGCAAGCCAGCTGAGAACCCCCCTGGTTCCTGTGGTTGCTTCACTGGGATTGAGTGTAAACTGTTATTCTGCCCTTTAATGTGTTTTTCACACCATAAATCACTTAACCCATAAGGGTCAGATTATGTAGTCCATATGAAACAAGCAGCACTTGTCCCTTCTGAAGTCTTCTGCCCTGTGATGAAATGACAAATGGAAGATGACCATTACACCAGCTGAGGTTGCTGATTCTGGGGCACCACAGGTCAAGTCTTTGCAGGAACTGTTCTTTAAAATCTTTTGAAGCCTCTCCAAAGCTGTGTATAAATACACAGGAAAAATGTAAACCAGCCCTATCAATTAATCCTCTGACAAAGGTGATTAAGCATTTCGCTGAGTCCTTTGAGTGAGTGCAGAAATCCCCCTCTACTTAATCCACACAATTTTAAACAAAGGTTGATAAGCAAATTGATTCAGGAATTCATGGGAAAGTTATTCTCATTATAAAAAGTTTTGAACCTCGGTGCCTTTCTAAGCAAATAGCTAAGAGTTAGTTTTACCTCCTTCAGGGTGATTACTTGAGTAAGTGAGATCATGCAGAATTTTAGTCTTTTTTCATTCCCAGGAGCTGTCTCTGGGGATGAAGTTTAATGGTTTCTGAAGATGAAGAAATATTTCGTGACCTTTATGTATTTGCTCTTTCATCCAGGCTACTTTGCAGCCTGGAAAGGTCAATTTAAATCAGACTGCCATGAAGTGGCTGGTTAACTGATCAGAATATCTTCTCTGATATTACCACTGAAGCTTTGCAGTTCATAATATAACGGCCACTTAAAAAGGATGAATATTTAGATTAGTGGCAGCAGGAATCATTGTGCAAGCTACCCATGCTTGCTTTTTCAAGTACAGCAGATTTTCTTCAGGTGTTAGTCTGTCCCTGGATGACTGTTTTTACTGGACTGGGATTATTAATTAGCGGTGACAAACAGGTTCATAGGGGAGGAATGCTACTTTTCGAGAATATTTATTCTCAATAGAATTTCACATGATAATCCTCAGGCTAGGCTGGGCTGAGCTGGGTTGTATGCTGAGTTCTCCTAAAGTCCTGCAGCTGGAAAGAGTCTGTCTCAAATGATATATGTTTCCACCTGGGCTGTCTTCAAAAGAGTGTCCCTAAGAATTACTTTTCTCATACTTGTCCCTTCCTGTTCTGACCACAGTAAATGCTCTCTGCTTACACCAGACAGGGCAGTCAGAACTGGAGGTAAAAGAATGTTTCAAGCTGTCAATGTAGTATTGCCAATAATTTACAGGATGATTTTTACAGTTGTTTTGCTTTAGTACCATTTTCTGGATATAAAGCCATTGAGACAGCAATTGAGCTTGATTTTATTTATTTTTTTCCCCTCTGTATTTTAAAGTCTTTGTAACTAATTTTTTTTTTCCTTCAATGCAACCTCTTTACGTTATCTTTACATTATTTGCCATGCAAATTCTGAGTGATCAATTGCCAATAGGTGCATGAGGAACCGTACAGGTCCTGCGGATTATTTTCATTGCTGTTGTGGCAAGTAATTTTTTTTTTCTTCAATGCAACCTCTTTACGTTATCCTATCATTTGCCATGCAAATTCTGCGTGATTAATTGCCAATAGGTGCATGAGGAACTGTACAGGTCCTGCAGATTATTTTCATTGCTGTTTTGGCAAGTTTTGTGTGTAGAAACAACGTGACACTGTGTTTGGATGTGGAATAGCAGCAAATTATTTTCTAATTTGGCCTGCTTTTCCCAACTTGTGCATTAGGATTTGAGCAATTTGCCCATCCCAAAGAGAAGCACTAATTCATTTAATATTTTCTAATTTGGCCTGCTTTTCCCAACTTGTGCATTAGGATTTGAGCAATTTGCCCATCCCAAAGAGAAGTGTTTTTTTTTTCCTTCAATGCAACCTCTTTACGTTATCTTTACATTATTTGCCATGCAAATTCTGAGTGATCAATTGCCAATAGGTGCATGAGGAACCGTACAGGTCCTGCGGATTATTTTCATTGCTGTTGTGGCAAGTTTTGTGTGTAGAAACAACATGACACTGTGTTTGGATGTGGAATAGCAGCACATTTAATATTTTCTAATTTGGCCTGCTTTTCCCAACTTGTGCATTAGGATTTGAGCAATTTGCCCATCCCAAAGAGAAGTGTTATCTCCCCGTGCAGCCCAGAGTTGCTCATTTCTGTTCTTGCTCTTGCTTGGGACCGAATGGTCGCAGTGGTTCTGTCCTGCCCTCCCTCCTCACCCTGTACAAGGACCAGTTTCAAGGCAAGGATATGCAATAGCTGAGTAAAACAAGCTTTATCTTAGGAGTTTCAGTAGATAATTGTGCTGGCCAAACCGTGTTATGTGGAAAAAAGGAGAAATTTCTGATCTCATTGCGTGTGTGTACGTGTAAAGAGAGGGGAGTGAATTTTGCATTGTGGCTGACAAAATAGCTGAGTGTAAATGCAGGCTAAATAATAAAGGATTTAGTTTAGTCACACATATATAAAAACAAAGGTCTAGTTTATTTTAACTGTATAAATGAGACTGAATTGATAACAGGATTTTTTGTCCTCTGCAGTGCTGCTTCTGTCATTGTGGGGGTTGTACATGAGAAGTGTTTGCTTGCGATGCCACTAAGATGCTTATCAGCCCTGAGCTAATTGAGGAGTCACGTTCTCCTACCCGTTGCTCTGTTCCTGCCTTTACTGTGTTTCTGCCTGCAGTTTATATTCTATCTCCTTTTGGTATAAAATCAGACTTGAAAACTCAGTGATGCAAACTATGCGAATGAAATAACCTTGAAATGAGGTTTGTAAGGAAGAACTCACAGCCTCCCTTGTTGCTATGGTTACTTGCAGCCGGTCCCCGAGTCAGAATGGCTCCATCATCAGCAACGGGTCGGGAAAGCCCAGCTCTGGCCGGAGCTCCCTCCAGAAAGTGATGGCACCCCAAAAAGTGACAAAAGACGAAGGAAGGAAAAGAAACGGTGAGAAGTGTTTCTTGATGAAAGCTGCTCCCAGTTGCCCCTGTAACGGTACCCACACAGGCACGAGTGATGTTAAAAGCATGATGTTAAAAGCACCTCCCCATACCTTTGGCAGTACTTAGGCATTTTCTATTTGTAGCTGGTTTGTTTGTCCTTTTCTTTTTTCCCATTTACTGCTATAACTGTTTCTCAACATCACACAAAACAGTATGGTGTTTACTCTTTACGTGTGCGCCTTTGCAAATTTTCTTTTCTTGTCTTTTTTTTTTTTTTTTTCACCTTTGCAAATTGTCTTTTCTTTTCTTTTCTTTTTTTTTAAATTTTGAAATACCAGTGAACTAATGAATACAAGGTGCTCCTTAGCAGGTGGACAGGGTTTCCAGCTTTTTAGAGCCCTAAGATATTAATTTCCATTACTTGCTGTTCCTGAGCTGGCCCAGATCTGATGAAGATGATTTAATTAGGCGAAAATTAATTTGAGAAAGTGTGAGACGTCTAAAGCTTTAACTTCTTCTCTCTTATCATTCTCATCATACCCTTTTGTTGTTAACACTTACTGACAGCTTTTCCTGATGCACCTAGGATGTTATGCTGGATGTTTTTTACAAGGCCTTGGTTGATGGTGGTGACCTTGTGACTTGAGATGTAGTGGGAGTGTCTAATGAGAGTAGAATTCAATCCCCTTTCTTCCTTGCATTTCTTTTGTCTCTGTCTCTGCTTATTTTGCCCAAGTTACAGCTTTGCTTCGATAGCTATATTTTCCATATGCATAGAAAACACTGTAGCTGAACCAACTGATCATTTCCCTCTGAAGGGAAGGAATTAAACTGGATGTGGTCTCATCAGATTCTGTCATGAACACAAGTCCATAGTTATTCTTTGTTCAAAATGTAAGTGTGGAAAGGAGGACCTGGATAAAGAAGAAATCTTAGTGTAAATCTCTATTCCTTTATCCAGTAAATCACCTGAGTAACCTCTGTGGAGCATTCTGATGGCAATCCTGGTATCACATCATATGATGATCATTATACTTAATCCTAAAGTATCACATAAAGGCTTCGCTGCTTTAGCAGGAATACAGTGTGATATAGAGGCAGATACAAAGCGCCAGAGATGGCCTTTGTTCTGTACAGCAGAATCATACTGCGCTTTTAAGTGTCCTCTGTTCTTTCCATTCATGTACCATAGAGCATTGCATCTTCTGCGGGCCCTATAATTGATATAACTGTTGTACACTGTTTTTAAATCAACTTCACTGAGATTTATGCACATTTACACATTCACACAGAGAAGTGAAGTTGTTAATTTCCTTTTGTTATGTGTTTGTCACCTGTACTGCTTTCTTCTGGAAGACTTGTGACTTTACTGATTACTCCAGACCTGTAATAATATGTATTCTGACTGTTTCTTCTCAGAGGTTTGTTTTTTTTTTTCCATAGACAGCATAACAATATTTCATGGTTCAAAGTTTCGAGGCTTGTAATTATTTTTTGACTTTTTCAAATGTAGCTCTTTTCATAAGACAACATTTAAGGTTTCCAGTGTTAAAAGCTGTAATTTATGCTGTTTTTTTAATTCCCTACCCAGCAACCCAATATTCAAAGACAGAGTCAGTTGATGTTTACACATGTAGGCAAAATAACTTAGTGAAGGTATTTTTTTTTTGTTTTGTTAGGTTTTAAATCATCAAAGAAAATTGGTAAGAACTTCCAGTCTCCTTGTTAAAGAATTGACTAACACCTAACAGCCTCTCTTCTGATCTGCACCATAGAGCTGCATTTCTAGAACATATATATGCTACTTAAAGTAACCTTTCAAAGTAGTATAAGAGAATTCTGACCCTTTATTTTAAATCGTAATGTCATTATAATTCTGGCGTCAACTTTATTTGGTAACAGTAACTAGGCACTTTTAAAATTATGTCGAAAACTAACAAACTGCTTCATTAATGTGTTTATTTTAGCTTCTCTCTTCTGAAAGAAAGCCTGAATATTGTTGTTATTAAATAAGGTTAAGGTGCTCCTTGTTAGGAGCAGCAAAGGAGCTAAATGATTTCTAGGAAAACATCTTTAGTTTCAATCCATTCATAGCGTAGTTACTTCTTGTTTGTTCCTACCACACACTGACAGCAAGATCTTGAGCTTCTGTGGCAGAAAGAAAGAGCTGGATTTGCCTTTTTAAAAAGTAATAGTATATATATATAATATATATATAAGCATATATACAAAATATGAAATAGATAGGCTGTTTCCATCTGACTATTCTGGCTTCGAAGGAACCTGTGCATGAAACACCTTTTCTGCAGAGTCCTACTTCTGGTAGAGACTTCAGCAACTTCTTGAGGAACTTCCTTCACTCCACTACCACGGCCTTATAAAGGGTCACCTGTTAGTTTCCAGGCGCACATATGAAATGGAATAAGTACATTGTTCCCCAGTAAAGAGATGGGGACTTATTAGCTGTAGAGAGTTTTAGTAAGAGTAAGAGAGACAACCCTTTCAGAACAGCTTTTGAGAAGGAAGGTGTGGCTGTGGGAAATGAGATGGCCTCTCGCTTACCAGAAATACAGAGCTGGCCCCACATTTATATGCAAGTGCAGATGAGTTTTTGACTTCGAAGATCCCAAATGCCTATTGAAGTTGAAATTAAAAACCCAAAATCAAGGCATCTTTTACTTTTCCTCACAGAGCTCACGCTTTGTTCCCCTGTGCTGTGATTACAAACACTGTTGTCATCTCGGATATTTTGTTCTTTTTGCAGGGTTTTATCTTTATCCAGTGTGATTAGCATCAATGGAATGTGTTGGCTGTTTTTCCTTCTAGTTCAAGAAAGAAGCTGCTCTTCACCTAGTTGTTTGTCTGAACCTGCTCCAGCTCTCTAGCCTAGTTGTAGGCTGACGCCTCTACTGTGCATGTCAGCAATAGCAGCAGCATATTTTCTTCTCTGAAAAGCAGCATCTTAAAACTGGAATGCATCCCTTGATGGTCACATGTTTGAATTGGGGACTCCAAGTTAGAATGGCTCATTAGTTGCCATAGTTACAGACCAATTTTAGATTCTATTTCTTGCTGACATTTAGTTACATGGAAAAATGACAGCACTGGATGTTACCTCAGTACATAAACTCTGTATGGCTTGTATCAAAATTGACTCCAAATGGAGTGTGTCAAGGCTGAGAGTGAACAATGTGAAACCACCACAGACTGACTGGCTTGGCTTAAGGACTTGATGCATTGGAGGATCAGGAGTACTCTTTAGCTAAGCCTTATTTCTACAGAAAGCATTAATAAAATATCTATTTGTATTAAAATAGCGATACATTTTGGTAAGGTAACAGCATATTTTTCCTTTTGTTTTTCTTGGAAAACATTTATTAGTATTTTAATAGGAAGTTTCCCTTCTTAAAGTTGATAAGTTGGGCTTTCATGTGCTTTGAGCACTTAAAAAGAACTTGTTTTAAAAGTGCCCAATTTCACATGTTAGAGGACTGTGAGATGAATGAATCAGCCAATCAGTACTGGCAATTTCCGAGACGGATTTGTAAGAGACAGTGGAAAAGAACAACAGGATATTAGCACTTTTGCCTATCATTTTATCAGGCCAGACATCATTCAGGGAGAAGCAAATGGCAGAACCCACATGTACTTAAAGAATTATAGCAGCCTACAGTAAAAATCTTTCCTTTCATTGGCTCCTCACAAAGTGGAGTCAGTGAAAGTTATATAGGTTGTTTTTCCAACCTTTAAGTGCTTGATCTTGCAATATTCCCATTAGCATCTTTGAGAGGGCATGATTGCTCGTTTGTTTTGAGAAAAACAAAAGCTTTAGTTTGCTAGCAGTTCTTAATGAAGCATAGTTTTTGGGGTGAGAACCTGTATAGTTGAGCCCAGTTTTGTATATGAACCTCATCATCATGAAAGGACACACACCATAGGTGGATATGCACAAGAAGCATTCCCATAGAGTCCAATTTTCTTGTGTAAGAAATACTCCTTTCCTTCCTAGGAATCCCAGCTGGAACACTGCTTCTCATCTTCCAAGCATTTGGATGTTGTCTTTAAAAATAAATGTAACTTTTCAGAAGTCATTCAGTCAAGAGCCTCTCTCCTTTTTAAAATATCAGTCTCTAAGATGATAATTTTCTCTGCCCAGGAAGAAGCCGTAATATATGTTTTTAATTTTCTTTTCCTTCTGTTCTTTGTAGGGATATCTCAAAATCAGGTGTCTGCTGGAAAAAAGTATTGAGGAGGAAAGCTTGGCTGTATTACTGGCTTAGCTAAAATCTAAGGGATTTTTGGATGTAACTCAGCCAAGCTAACACTGCCTCCTTCCTTCTACAGAAGTGTGGGCCACCAGTTTTCACACTGCCTGATGCAGCAGCTCAGCGTCAGAGCCAGTTTTTCTGAATTTCTGAGCAGTTGTCTGTAGTGACTCAAATTGAAATGAAATATGGCAATAGCAGTTGAATCCAGTAGCAGTGATATGGCAGTCTGCTTTGACTGAGAGTTAGCAGAGGATCTGGTGTATCCCTGCAAACACCCAGCACCCTTCATCTGCCTGTTCTGGGCTGAGTGGGGTGAAATGCAAGTTAGAGTGGAAAGGGCTTCATCTTGCCAAATTTTGGTCTGTAACAGTCGGCTTCCTAATCTAAGCTAAACAGGTAGGCTCTCTAGTGACTCCAGAGGGTCGCAGCTAATTGGGACAGGTCTCTCTGCTCTGGAGGTACTCACCTTTCTCTTTCCAGTAAGAAAGGAGCCCAGACAACTGCATTGGAGCATATGTGCCCATGTGAAGTGAGATGATGCCTGTGTCTCTGAAAGGCTGAAAAATCAGAGTGCTAGGAAGCATTTATGGTGGAAAGAGAAAAGCCTATTCTTTTCATCATTCATTCCCTCATCCTGAAGCATTAGCTTCATTTCCCCTAGGAAAAGTGCTAGTGGGGATCTTTATCTAACTCTTCACCCCCTCACAGCGAACTCCTAGGATTTTCTGGAGTTGTT